CAGAAAATTTCTTTCTATTTTTTTTAGTAGAGACGGGATCTCGCTCTTGCTCAAGCTGGTCTCGAACTCCTGAACTCAAACAATCCGCCCGCCTCAGCCTCCCAAAGTGCTAGGATTACAGGCATAAGCCACCATTCCTGGCCTCATGTATAAATTTCATTGTATATATTTAAGGTATATATGACGTTTTGAGATACATACACAAAGCAAAATGATTACTACAGTCACCAGTTAAGCAAATGAACATATCTATCTCCTCACATAGTTTCCTCTGCATGTGTCTGTGATTAGAGCACCTGAAATCCACCCTCTTAACAAATAACATTGAATATTTAACAAATATTCCATCTGCAATTATTCTCCAGTATAGTTTATATTCATAATCCATTTCACCCACTAGGGGACAGCAAATCCACATAGTTTGCTTTGACTTTTTCTTTTTAAACTTCAGATTCTAAATGTCAGATCTGTATCTGGTGAGAATAAACATTTTTATAAAGCATGTCAGAGTTAGCTTTAATTGTAAGAAAGGCAAAACACAAATAAAGCATTTCATAGGAGTTTCCCCAGCTTACCCCATTCTTTTTTTCTAAATTCCAGATAGAAATTCACCAGGTCTAACACGAGAGCCTCTTTACCTTTAACACTGGTTATAAGCTCTCTTTCTCGGAACAATTTTTAATAAAAGGAATCCAAGTCTGTTCCAATCCCACAGGGTATGTGAAAAACCACTGACCAGAATCATTCCAGAAACTGGAAGAGAGGACCGGAGCCTCTCCAGGGTGTAGCCCAATCCTTCCCGGTTCCCCTTCTCCAGAGGCCCAGCCACACTCCTGGCCAGCCACTCACAGAGCAGGAGCAAGGCAACGCAAGCACAGGGGTTTGAGAGTGTATCCAGCCATCTCTTGGGGATTTCAGGGCAGAGTACTGCTTTTCTGTACATAACTCTGTGTAACCAACTTCTCCAAGTGCTACCACTGTATAAATGTTTTATCTAGGATTCTTGAAGTTATCTGGAAAGAAATCTTAAGACATTTTCATTGTAATTTATCATATTTCTCCTAGAAAAGCATCCTAAAGTCATAAAACAGGACTGGTCCTTAACTAGCCCAGAGAAATGAATTCAGATTTTTAGTTTTGCTAGTGCTGGAATTTGATCTAGTTTCAGAAACTCGGGAATTCAGATATTTTTAACTTGGAGAAAGTTAACTTGGAGAAAAACCTTGGAGCAAAAAGGGTTTTATGTCTATATTTTTATCTTCTGCACTAGGACCCATATTGTATTGTGTCCCAGTATACAGAGCTATAAAACTGAAATAAGTTTCATGAAATAATGCTTTAATCTTGCAAAACGAATGCGATGCACTCTCATATATTTATTTTAGTCTATCTTTTTTTTTTTTTTTTTTTTTTGAGACAGAGTCTCACTGTGTTGCCTGGGCTAGAGTTCCGTGGTGTCATCCTAGCTCACAGCAACCTCAAACTCCTGGGCTCAAGC